CGGTTCCCACTTTCAAAAAAAAATCACTAAATCTCAGGGACCAATAGTGAAGTTAACTCTAAAGTTAAGTTTATAGAACCAAACTATAAGATATTTATCAAAAGAGTCATGTAAAATAGGTAACACAATAGTTTTTTTGTATGTAAAATTGTCCTACAAAACTTGTTAAAATGCCTAAAAGCATCATATAAACTTATTGTAAAAATAGGACCAACCTCCACATCTCTCTTGTATTCCTTACACGGTTACACCAATGGAGTCCCACCATGAAGAAAACAAGTCATATTTGTGACCATTGATCCATTTATCGTTAAAAAAAGGTTTCAATGAAAACAAAAAGCATATCCACGATAGAAATCAACATTACGGATCAAATCTCGCTCAGAAAACTTGTGAGAGCATTGGAGCCCGGTTAGATTACTCTTCAGAAGAGCCCTTGAGGAGAGAAGGGAGATTGCAACACATGTTAACGATAAATTAAATGGTCCAAGTCTAGCCGATATGTAACTCTAACATACACCTTCCAGAGGAGAGTGTCGAAAGGGAGCTAGACTAGTAAAAATGCCCTATATCATCAAATCCCTAGAGTGGTAGACCTCGGTTTTATTACCATGTGAGAATACATAGAACTCGTTAGATTACCCTCCAAAAGATCCTTTGGAGAGTGAAGGGAGGTTCCAGCATATATTCAAGTAAACACATCCAAGTTTAACTAGTGTAGGACTCTAAAAATCATTAATAACCCTAACAAGAAGTTCTGTTTGTTATATATTCAGGTAATTGTGGAGATACCTTATGTGTTCTTTCAGACCACATACTATACTCTTATTGTATACAGCATGGTGAGCTTTCAATGGACAGCAAGTAAATACTCGTGGTTCTTCTTCATACACTTCTTTACCTTTCTCTACTTCACGTACAATGGGCTGATGGCCGTTTCTCTCACACCTAACGATCAACTAGCATCTATCCTCACATCTGCTTTCTATTCACTCTTCAACCTCTTCTCCGGGTTCTTCATCCCCAGACCGGTAAGTTTATCTTCTTTTGTTTCTCCGGTCGTTACAACAAAATTGGTCTTTTACTTTTGGGCATCTTAATAGAGTATTTAACGAGACGTTTAGTTTATATCACCAAAAACCGCATCCTATCTGATCTAATCTAATGGTGTTACAACAAGTTGTTATAAACCAAGTTACGTGACCTTATAAAAGGGCTAATAGAACGATTATTAGGTTCCTCAACTTCATAAATAGGATCCGTTATGTCGCTTCAATCTGTCTTGACAACTTACTTTGGATCAGACGTCAGTTTTTTGTCCTATAAACTTAAAAGTCCCGTTACGTACTCTATTAGGACATTTTTTTGTAAGTATGTTGGGTCAAAACATCTTGAAACTATAGCAACTTCACAAACATTTTGGTTTCTTGAAATTTCAGAAAATTCCCAAGTGGTGGGTATGGGGTTACTGGATTTGCCCACTGGCATGGACCTTTCAAGGATTGATTGCTTCACAGTATGGGGATGTGGAGGACACCATTAAAGTGCCAGGAATGTCACAGGATCCAACAATCAGATGGTATATCCAAAGCCATTTTGGATATGAAGAAGAATACTTGGGACTAATGGCTATGGTTTTAGTTAGTTTCACACTGTTCTTTGCATTTATGTATGCATACTGCTTGAACAAATTGAACTTCCAGGCAAGATAGAGAACAAACTAGGGTTATCACGAGAATAATCTTCCGACAAGGGGTTTTTTAAATGTATGATCTTTTGATATATTTAAGAACGCCTTGTCTGTTCCTAACATAAAAATGCCTCGATATATGGTAAAAGGTCATGAATTTAAGAAAAAACATATCCAGGAGATTATTCTCCTAAATATCCCGAACAAATTAATTGTACAATTTATTTATATGCATCGGTGATAGGATGGCCATTTTGACCATTAAAGTTCATATTTACTACCATATATATAGCCAAAGGTTATTTTGAGAAGTGGTTATTATTTCAAAAGTAAAGAAGTGATCTTACCTTTCATACAATCAAGATCGGATTTGATTGGTCAATAATTGTGGTTATGGGTAAAATAAAGGGGTAATTTCGTAACTTTTATAAATAGGTGACAAACGGATTCATATATGAACCATGCATGTGATTCATTTATATTGTTCATATGTGAACTCATGTAATTGATGTATGAACTATTTTAACCGATTCACATATGAACTAATTAACTGATTCATATATGAACCTTTATGATTCACATATGAGCTAATTAACCGATTTATATATGATCCTGTGTGATTCACATATAAACTATTTTACTCGTTCATATATGAATCAGTTAAATAGTTCAGATATGAACTAATTAACTGGTTCACATATGAACTCGTTTGCCACCTATTTATAAAAGTTAAGAAACTAGTACTCTATCTTTCGCATACTCATGCGAGGAATTATCAGGTGCTTACAATCAAAGCCGCAAATTTTGACCAGATGAAGAGCTATGATCACTTCTTTATTTCTCAAATATTTACCACTTCTCAAATGAACATTTCCCTATATTATATTATATATATATATATAGGGGCTCATTCAAGAGAGAACTGATTAGTTTGTGGTAACTGTGAGATCCAATCTCAACCACGGTCAAATGATATATTAGGAAATTAATAATTTTAGTAATTTGAGTTAAAATTATAATTAGAGGGGATTTTAGGTATTTTTAAAAACGCCTCTCTCCGACATCACATCTTCGGCCTCTCATAAACATTATTCCAGCCGGTACCAAGTAATCACAAAAATGTACAGACCACGTAAGTTACTCCATCTCCAACGGTCCAAAGATGGAAATCGCGATTACCAAGTAATCACAAAGATACACAATGTGAAATCCATTGTGATATCACCGTGATACTATTGTGATATTAACCATGATATCAATCCAAACCTTAAAAACAAAATTAAACCCATGGATGAGAGGCCGATGAGGGTCATCCATTATTATTGTAGTGTGGGGGGGAAGAAGGATTTCACCGGAGATGTTGTAAGGACACGATTCATAGACCGGAGGCGGAGGCAGGATGTCGGAGGAGATGACGGATTTGCGGTTGACGTATTTTTCTCACCGAGGGGGAGGGGAGGAGAAACAATTTGACGAGCCTAAGATTGTGCAAGAGATGGCCGATAAGGTCAAGGGCATTCGAGAGCCTTTGAAGGCAGCTCAAGATTGCTAGAAAAGTCATGCTGATAAGAAGAGGCGACAGGTGGACTTCGAAGTTGGGACATGTGATGTTAAAAGGTGTCCCATTGGAAATGTATCATGTGGGAAGTTTAGACCGTTCACAGTCGTGGGATGGGTGGGACTCCAAGCTTTCAAATAAGAGTTACCACCTAAATTGAATGGGATTCACAACTCTTTCCACGTGTCCTATTTTGAAAGTGCTTAAACCACAAGGGTGATGTCTGATTGGTTTGAACTTGGGCTCCGAAAGATCAGAAGCGTCCATGTTCAAATCCAAAGAGTAATAAAAATTCACTTGTAGCTGCTGTTTTGACGACTTTTGTTGCTGTTTTTAATTCGGTTGTAAAGGATGGCAGCAATCCCTCAATTTTGGGTAAATAGTCGTCCAATAATTAAAGTTGCAGCTTTCTTCAAATCCAATTGGGCTTTTCTGTATCATATTCGATTTGTTGGGCCAAGCCCATTTATTATAAATATGGATAGTTTTTAATTCATTAAAAATGTAAAAGTTTATTGTTAGTGGATAATAGAAAATTAATGAATTTTTTATTAAAAATGAAAATCTAAAAGTTTATGAAGTACTTGTTTTGTCCATCAATTTAAGTTAAGTTAGTAGTTGTCGCGGTTGTAAAAAAAAACATGATGGTGTTAAGGACTTGATTTGTTTGTTTTGGTTGTTACTGTGGAAAATTTGCAAACGAAAAGATATGCTACGAGAAAGTCATAGAGATAGAATTCAAGAAGAAATTGAAAATGACGAAACTGAGACTGGCAAGGGGTTAAACCAAGAGATTTTTCGTGTACGAGTTGGAGGTACACGATGGAATTCTCATCTTAAAACAGTCATGAGTTTGATTGCTTTGTTTCTAGAGGTTATAAAAATGCTTGAATATGTCGAAGATGATGGTGGTAATGGAGCTAGTCGGCTTCACACAAGAGGTCTTTTATCATACTTCAAGACATTTGAATTTGTATTTTATATGCACTTAATATCAACCATCTTAGGGTTAAACAAATTTACCGTCTCAAGCTCTTCAAAGGAAAGATGAAGACATCTTGGAAGCTAATGATTTGATAGGAACAACCAAAGGTCAATTACAAATATTGAAGGAAAATGGGTTTGAAGTTTTGGAGAAATACTACTCTTTTTGTGATAAACATAAGATTGTCAAGTTGGATACGGTCGAAGGTTATGTTAATACAAGAAATCCAAGGAAAGATATGAACACTAACAATCAACATTATTATAACTATGATATATTCAACACTGGTTTACCTGTTGCAACTGCCACGTTTGTAATATGTTTTTCAACGATGAAACTTGTCAAGACAGATTTACGTAATCGAATTGGTGATGACTTTTTGAATTATGCCCTCATTTGCGCCATAGAAAAGGAATCACATAATAATGTTAAAAATGAATGTCATCGATTGTTTCCAAAAGTTCAATTTTAGATTTATATAACTTAAAGCCATTAACAATGATTTGGTTCAAAACCAAAAACCAAATTTCTTCTTAAACCTGAAATGACGTTGTTTTAAGTTCAATTTTTTCAAGATGGAAAAGACAAAACCGAAGATTTATACAATTCACAATCCGATTTAGAACCAAACGAGTTTACATGCATTTGATTTTTGATTTTATCGTATTTGATTTTTCAATTTTGGTCCGGTCGACTTTTAACTCAACCACATCCTTACTCATACAAAGCACAAGAAGGCCAGCAGGAAACAACTTAACCTCCGGATAGAAATTTATTCAGCACCATAACTAAATACGATCATTACTGCATAATCGAGATACATAATCTGGTCGTACCCTTAAATCATGTGAATTAAAGCATACTTAATCGATCTTACAATACAAGCGATCAAAAACATACTTCTGAAGTTTTTTTCTGTCCATACAACACTTTACTTACTGAGATATATATTTATTCTTTAAAAGCGTTAAGCGGGTTCATATGATCAATGGTATTAATAAAAGGTAGATCAGCCGGGAGAGTTTCGAGACTCAACCCTACTTCGTGTAGTTTTCCAATCACTTCCTCAAAAACAATCTTGTTTCCACCCAGTGTAAGGTGCAACCCATCCCTGCATTTCCAAATATCAATCACTCATTCAATGACTTTCATCTAAATCTAGGACTCAAGGTATTGTTTCACATATGAAACTCTTCAATGAAGAACAATCATGTATGTTTCACATGTAAATGTGAAATTTCACTGGTTCTCAACATTTTTAAGGTTAAGTGAGAAAAATAAAAAGGTTGATAACGTAAGAATAAATTTATTTATATGTAAATCACTAGCAAACCCGAAAAAATATCATTTGAAGATGCATATGCGAACCCACATTTCCTTTTCCAATGATTCACATATGAATCATTTACTCTTATGTTCTCACATTTGATCTCCCTATATGTATGTACGTATGTATGTATGTACGTATGTATGTATAGCATACATGAAATATGAGGGAAGTACCTCAAATATGTTTTGCCCCAGTAAGGAAACTGCTGCATTCGGGTCCAAAGATCCACAACTGGCACTCTGCATTCTCCTGCAACAGCAACACATGCTTTGGCATAATTTCCAGCAGCTTCATTTGTGCGTTCAGGTAAATTCGAAGGATTCTCATCAAAAGAATGTCTTCTTCATCATAAACATGCAAAAACCGCAACTCAATTGAATTGAACTAGAAAAAAACACTGCTGTTCGTTGAAAAAGAGCTACAAATTCACTTGAACTTAAATAGACTAACTTTCAAAATCAAAACCGATACTTTCTTTGAACCATAGAAATTGAAAAAATTCATCATTGCCAGAATCAACATCCACAAGATTCTCTTACTTTGTCCTTGTTAAAGAGTATAGAGAAGTTCAGTTGCAAACCAATTTAAGTGAAGGTGAGCACTAGTAAACGATTCATGATGAATGATACACATTCATCAGGAATAATGAACATGTCCACATTCATTCATGAATAATGAAGGTGAACATTAGTAAACGGTTCATGATGAATGATGCACCATTCATGATGAATAATACAACATTCATGGTGAATAGCCCGTGAATGTATGGGACAGGTGGCGCGCTCTCCTTTGTCCCCCAGTTCACAACCTAAAACTGGTTTGCAACTGAACCCGCCCCTTGAAAAGTATTTAAGAAATTTGATCAATACAAGACTTGATGTTACTGCCAACGCTGCGATTTTTATGGCATTCTATTCAAGTGAATTTGAATGTTATAATCAAACAAACAAACAAAAACGATATCATAGAAAGAAAGGTCAAGGGAGGTTGCTAGGAATAAAGGTTTACAGAAGGCGTGCAACTTCATCAATCGGAGGAGGAGTGATGAGGATGACGTGAGTCGAAGGCCAACGCTTCTGAAATCAAACAAAGATTTTATCAAAAAATAAGCACAAGATAAAAAACCAGCAGCTTATGATGGAAATCGCTTCTAAAACAATGCAATAATACAAATCTGTCTATTTGAATCCAAAAACTAAAAGGGTTCCAGACATAGCCATAGCCCAAAAATCACGATAATTCACAAGCCTGTCTACCAAAGAAACAATCCACGGTGAAATTACCATGGAACTAAAAATAACAATAATAATAATCATAAAGTAAAATTCATCCTCCTGCCTTTAAAAGCACCTGTTTATCACAAGTATATTTTTTCTGTCCTCTGTTGTTTTCAGACAGAAGCTTTACCTATTTCATGTCTCCTATGGACTTTGAACAAACGTATTTCGCAAACACTGGTTTCGTTTCTGCTGTTGTCAAACAAAAAAACAACAAAGTTCTACGTAAACATAGACCTTTTTTTCTGTTTTTAAGCCATATATGCTTCTGTTACCGGTTTGAGCGGAAAAAATAATAATAATAACAACAATATAATTTCATGCTTCTGGTCACTTGAAACAAATTGTCTAATGGGTCCTGTAAGGAACAGATTTTCCACCAATGGACAGAAATATTCTGATGAGGTTTATGTTGTTTCTTTTATGCTTTAACACTGAAACTTGGGACAAATAAATCTGGTTTGGACCGTTTGGCGAAACGTTACTTACACTTTCGTCTGAAAGAAACAAACAGGAATTGGCTTTACAGCTGACACGTTTAACAAATTGGTTAAAGATGGAAAACACTTTTGCAGCATCTCAGGACCCAATACTGAGGTGATACCTCGTAGAACTAGGAAGTCTTGCTTAGGGAGTTGGAACTAATATGGGGATTGTGGTGAAACCAAAGAAACTTAATGGGTTCAACTACAAGAGGTGGCAACAGAAACAATTTTTCTATCTTACCACCCTCAATTTAGCTCGATTTTTGACAGAGGATGCACAACAGGTCAATGTTGGTAATGGTGATATTGAGTTCTATTGATGCTTGGAAACACTCTTATTTCCTACGCCACAAGTATGTGTTGAATGGCTTAGTGAATGCGCTATACAATGTGTATAGTGCAACAAAAACTGCAAAGGAGATATGGGAATCCTTGGTCAAAAATATGAGACTGGGGGTGCAGGGGCAAGAAATTCATTGTGGCTCGGTTTTTTGATACAAAATGGACGACTATAAACTAGTGGTAAGCCAAGTGTAAGAACCTCAAATAATGCTGCAAAACACGTAGAGGAAATGTGAATATGCAAGCCATTTCAAGTGGCAGACGTAATTGAAAAGTTGCCCCTAGGCCGGATGGATTCCACAAACTAGTTGAAAAAAAGAAGAAAGGAAATGATATAGAATACCTCATAGTAAGGCTACTGAGGAAGACGATATGCTAGCTAATAATAAAGGGACAGTTGTGGTGAAGCTAAAGCCAATGTTTTGTTGAACATGGTCAGTCCTGAAAGTGCTAGAAATTTATATTTAGGAAAAAGAGAAGTCAACAAATTGGGATCAATAGGAGGTGTTGCCAAGAAGCATTTACAAGTGAAGGAAGCTCAAAAGAAAGGATTTCAAGACTTCGTTACGATTGTGACAAGTATGGACACAAATTTGTCGACTGTTAACTCCCCAAATGTGAGACAAATAGGGATGTCAACTATGTTGACATAACCAGAGATTTATCTTATATCAACTTGATAGCTGTGATTTGTGAGGTGAACTTCATTGGATCTAACCCAAAGGAATGAGTGGGTTGACACCAGAGCTACTCAATGTATTCTTTGACCAAGGGTCTTTCAGTTTTTTTGAAAATATTGAAGATGAGGGTAAAGGCAAACGGATGGTCATTCTGAAAACGACTTCCTGGAAAGAGCTTACTTTAAATGAAGTGTGCTAGAAATTTGAAAAAATTTGGTGTCTCAACAAACACGGTTTCCGTCTAATGTGAGTCAGGCAAGTTCGTGTTATCGAAAAATGGAATGTTTGAAGGGAATGGTATTTCTATGATGGCTTGTTCAAGTTGAATGTGATGACCTTAAAACACAACTGTAATGAAAACGAGGGGTCATGTACCAAATGTTTACCTGGGTAAGTGCTTACCAAGTCATATTACCTTAGTTGATGAATATGGCAAGGACCAAGAATCTTACCCAGTAAGAACGAAGGCAAGGACCGAGTGTCTTACCTAGTAAGTGATAGTGACGACTCTTACCATGGTTAGCGCTTATCAGGTAAATTGTTACACGTTATGAGATGGCCTAAACAGGTGTCTCCAATATGTATACATTGTGATTGACACATTCACTGAAGACATAATACCATTCGATAATTACTCTTAACTAGGGTTATCTCTATTGACTATGTGGAAGTCAAATGAAAACATTGCAAATCTACTAACCAAAGGGTTAAATCGAGAGTTGGTGAGTAAGTTATTCAAAGGAATGGGACAGAAATGCATAAATGATTAAGTTTATACAAAGGAAACCCAACCTAGCTAATTACATAAACTAATTTAGATCACTATAAGGGATAATTCCTTACCCTTCCTCTAACAAAAGGTGATAGACTATAAGGTTAAGCTTACGACTTATAATGTTCAAATTGAAGATCATCTACGTGAGAATGAAGTAGGGTCGCTTCTAAGGGAACAATTGGGGCTCAATTCTTGAATAATTCTAGCATAACCAGGAAAAGCATTTATAACCATAACGAACACACCAATGAGGACTTCAATACGCTAGGACAAATCCTGTGTGGAGTGTGTTGATGCCGACACAAACGACATATCAATTCAAGGACATCGTGTCTATTGGAATGTCAGTCAACAAGATATACTTCATACGGGAAGGTTCAAAGGATAACACCAACCTATCATTTCCTTTGCAGGGTTCAACCATTGAAGTTTGATACTACGTTTCTAGATATATTACAATTCCCATCCATGTGGAGCATTGTTGGATTTTGTAAGATGAAAGGGAAATTGGTAGGTGTTTGAGACTCTTGATCCTCCAAGTCCTGATTCCCATAAGATATCAATCAATATGTTTATGACAACATTAACCCTCTATTTATATATTTGAGACTTCGTATCCTATTGTAAACACAAAATGAGAGAGTAAGAAATGTACACAAACCTTTTGTTTTTATTTGATGCATCAGATACGTCTCTGAAATATTCTTTCTTGTTTAATCCGTTGTATTCTAGGAAACAAATGTTCTACAGGGGCAAATCTGTTTTGAGGGTATTATGTTCAGCACTAGCGTTGAGCTGTTTACGAGTTTCTTTTCGGTTTCTTATTTCTTCTTCTCTGTCAAAATTCAGTTATTTTAGCGTTAGTTCGGTTCTGAAAACAATTTGGACAACATTCTCAAATTTCCAAATTCCCATTCCAGAAAACGTAAGTGACCCTTGAGCCAAATAAGATGATTTTTGGCATAATACATTTATTTATTCAACCACTATGCCTTATTTTTGGATAATCTTTCACTAAGTGATTTATAGTTCTCAAATTTTCACGTAATGAGAATTAACATAATATCATTTTTACGAGAGTAAATTGGTCATTGACTTCCTATTTTGGCCTAAATAAAGGGGATCATGAGGTACAAGCAATGACCAAATAAGGAAGTCCCTAATTTTGAAACAAATAGAGCCAAAAGCTAACGTTATCATTTTTCCAGGTTATCAAAATGGAGAGTATGATAAATTGGGCATGGCATACATTTGATTTTTCAGTCAAACATATGGATATTCAACAATAACCCCAATATGGTTCAATCAGAATTTTAATAAAGTTCGCATAAGCACATGAATCACTGTAACGACTATTTCCATCTTGACAATTTCTGCAAAGTTTCAAAGAAAATCTATGTGATTTTGGTATGAGCCATAAGTCAAATTGTGTTATTAGGCAATCAAGCAAATTGATCAATATATCAACTTCTTGCAAGGATAAGGACAACTGAGAAGCCACTGTAGCAATCTTGAAGCTTAAATTCGAGTTTTGTGTCAAGGAAAACAAAACTCATAAGTATAAATTGTTGAAACTTGACCTGATTCCTAGGTGATTTCTACTACTTTTTTGTAACTACGCATCATTTATTTTAATTGATGGCAGGGTAATTATCATTTGATACGGTTAAAGGAAATCTATACATCTGAACAAAGTAAAGCATTTAAGAGAAGAGAGAGAGAGACCTTGAGATGGGAGACAATGGCGTGGAGGTTTTGTTTGTATTCGTCGATTGGGACGTGTTGAAACGCAGATGATCTATCCGGAAGGCAAGCATCGTTAGCTCCATAGAACACCGTCACAGCCAACGGCGAACGCCCGCCCCCAACGTTCATCTCTGCCGGAAACACCTTCTCCATCACCTTCATCGCCCATCTCGTGTTATACCCACTATAACCCCTCAACACCACATCAGCCTTAACCAATTTTGCACCCCCAAAATCAAATTAAAAAAAGAACCCACTTCAAATTCATCATAAGCAGCACAGACAATATGTATAGTAGTTACAAAAGATCTACTTCAAAGGTAAGAAAAGTATGCATATAGTAGTTGTATGTATACCGTGCGAGCGAAGTGGTTGGCGAGAGAAGCGCCCCAACCACCGTCTGAGAATGATTCCTCTGTAATGGAGTCACCGAAGAGATAAATTTTTGGTCTCATAGTTCTCCTGGGAAATCTATGCTATGAACATCCTTCTGATCCTACGGTTAGGAAGTTTTTAATTTGAATAAGTCCAAGCTTTTGGTCAAATTAGTATCCCTGTTTTTTTGAAGGAAAATTAGTTTGTTTTTGATTTTTTTTCTTTGCCACGTGTCGTCTATGCACTTCGTGGATGCATTTTTTTTTCTTTTTATTTGTTTGGCTATATATAACCCCCTACTATAGATGAATAAACTTGGAGTGTTTGGGATTGCTTATTTGAAACAAGTTATACTTTTTTATAAAAAGTATTTATCAACTTATTATAAGTCGGAGAGGTTTAACTTCTTCAAGAACTCCTAATTACCGGTTTGGCACCAGTATAAGTTGTTTATCCAAACACTCAAAAATGCTTATTATCAATATCACACCGGAATAAATCAATAAGTTGTTTTTATAAGCAATCCCAAACACCCCCTTAAGCTTTTATAGCTATTAATTGTGTGAGTATACTTGTGCTTGTTAGCCTTTGACAGCAACACTTACAGAGGTATCAGAGCCTATACGAGGCCTGATCTAAGAGAGAGAGAGAAAGAGATATATATATATATATATATATATATATATATATATATATTAGAGTACACGAGAGATTATGAAACATGATGGAAGCAAACAACATGAAGTTCACTGCTCCTACTATCCTAATGTTCGATGGTCATTACCTCCATTGGGCCAAGCTTATGAAGAATTTTCTACTCTCTAAAGAGTACTGATCACTTGTGGAGGACGGTGTGCCTAAGACGGGAGATGTGACACTAATTGCTGAACATAAACTGAAAGAATTGAAGATTAAAAATAATCTGTATCAAGCCATTCCTCGAGAAATTTTGGAGACCATTGTTGAAGACGACACGTTGAAGCAGATTTGGGACGTGATACAGCAGAAGTATCATGGCTTGTCAAAAGTTCCACAACCTTAACTTCAAGCTTTGAAATGAGAATATGAGTTGCTCAGCATGAAGGAAGGAGAGAAAATAGACAGTTTTTTGTCAAGAACTCTTGCAGTTGTCAACAAGATGAAGATTAATGGTGAATGCATCGAGGCTAGTGGCATAGTTGGTAAAATCTTGAGATCGATGACCCAAAAGTTCAACTACGTCGTTTGCTCCATTGAAGAATCTCATGATCTGAACACGTTAAGCATAAATGAACTTCATGGCAGCTTACTTGTTCATGAGCAGCGTATGCAACACAAAGAAGATAACGAACAAGCATTGAAGGTTGCTACCACAGGTCAAGGAAATATAGCGAGAGACAAGTTTAAATTATCTCCAAGAGAGAGAGGACGTGGCAACTATAGAGGAAGGGGACGAGGAAGGAACTTTGACAAAGCCACCATTGAATGTTACAATTGTCATAAATTGGGATGTTTTGCATATGAATGTCCTGATCACTCAGCACATTACGCCAACCAGACAACCTTTAACGAAGATGAAGAAATGTTACTTATGTCCTATGTTGAAATGAAAAATTCACATAGAGAAGCAATCTGGTTCCTAGACTCGGGTTGTAGCAATCATATGAGCGAAGACGTAAGATGGTTTGTCCAACTCGATGAATCGTAAACTCGGACATCTGTCGTCCAATTACTCCTGCATCAAACAGTCAAAAAAGGTACGTTCTTACCTTCATCGATGACTATAGCAGAAAAATGTGGGTATACTTCCTAAATGTAAAGTCATAGGCTTTTGAGATGTTTAGGAAATTTAAAAGCATGGTTGAAAAAGAGATAAGTTGTTCTATTTATTGCCTTCATACTGACCGGGGTGGAGAGTTTACATTCTCCACCTTCAATGATTTCTATGCCACAAATGGTATTCGTAGGCAACTTACGGCTGCTTATTCGCCACAACAAAATGGGGTGACGAAAAGAAGAAATCGCACACTAATAGGGATGGTGATTTGCCCCGACCCGGTGGGGAACCCGGTTCATCCGACCCGAACGAGGACGGGGATTCCCCGTTAAAACGGGTCCTAGGACCAGGGATCCCCGGTAGACTCAAAACGGGGACGAGGGATGTTACTCAAACTGGGGCCGAGGATCCCCGGTAGAATCAAACTAAAGGATACTATTTGTGGGGTTTGACCGGGGTTTTACTGGGTTTTGACCGGGGATTGCTAGAAATTTGACTGGGGATGGGATGATAATCCCCGTACCCACCGGGGACCGGGGCCGGGGGACATTACTACAACCAGGGTCAGGGCCGGGGATTACAAACCCCCCCCCCCCGGTTGCCATGCCTACACACTGATGAACATGGTCAGATGTATGTTAAATGATAAGAAGATTCCATTCAATTTTTGGCCTGAGGCGGTTAACTGGGTTGCCCTTGTACTGAACAGATGCCCCATAACAGCAGTAAAAGACAAAATCCAGAAGAGACGTGGAGTGGACTTAAACCATCAGTAGCGTATTTCAAGGTGTTCGTGCATTGGTCATATCCACATACCTGATGTGAATCGTAAAAAACTGGATAATAGAAGCTTTACATGTGTGTTTATAGGAGTTAGTCAAGAATCAAAGGCCTATTGAATGTTAGATCCAAACAAAAAGAAAATCGTCATAAGTCATGATGCGGTCTTTGATGAAGAAGAACAATGGAACTGGAAATAGAAGGAATTAGTTCGTACTGCCTTGACGTGGGACGATGATGAGGAACAAGATGATTATGCACCGAATGAAGAGATACAAGATGGGCAGAATAACGGTGGGGGTCCAAGTCATAATGAGCCGGGTGAAGCAAGTCTAGTTCAAGGGAGTGGCTCGAATACCTCAAGCTCGAATGTTTCAAGTCCTGGTAACAATGAGCCGAGTGACGTAAATCCAGTTCAAGGGAGGACCAGAAGACGACCAGCGTACATGAAAGACTTTGTAAGCGGAGAAGGGCTATCTGGTGACAATGAACGACTATCTGATGATGCTGAACTGCAATAGTTAGCAATGGTTGCCATTGTAACTGATCCAACTAATTACGAAGAAGCATTCAGGTATGTCAAGTGGAGAGAGGCTATGGACCTGGAAATGCAGGCCATAAACAAAAATGACACATGGGAGCTTATAGACTTTCCAAAGGGTGCTAAAACGATCGGAGTTAATTGGGTCTTTAAAACAAAGTTGAATGAGAAGGGAAATGTGGATAAATACAAGGTGCGTTTAGATGCTAAGGGGTACCACAACAAGCCGGCATCGACTACACCGAAGTATTCGCTCATGTTGCTTGTTGGGACACCATTAGAATGATCCTCGCTCTAGCTGCAAGCAGAAACTGGCAAGTTTACCAACTTGACGTAAAGAGCGCTTTTTTGCATGGGGAAATTAACAAAAAAGTTTATGTTGAACAACCTCAAGGCTATGTAGTTCTGGGAGCAGAAAGCAAGGTGTATCAGCTAAAAAGGGCATTGTATGGTCTAAAGCAAGCCCCACATGCCTGATTTAGCAAGATAGACGCTTATTTCTCCAACACGAGTTTTGAAAGATGTTCGAGTGAGCCTACGTTGTTTGTCAAAGCTGGTAAGAATGGTGAAATTCTCATTGTTAGCTTGTACGTCGATGATCTCATATTTACAGGTAACAATGTAGAAATGTTTGAGACGTTCAAAAAGTCGATGGTGCAGCAATTCGAAATGACTGATCTTGGTCTGATGAAATACTTCTTGGGTGTGGAAGTAGTGTAGAATGCAAGAGGAATTTTCATAAACCAGTCAAAGTACGTCAAGGAAGTGTTGGAAAGATTTGAATGAACAACTACAATTCCGTTAAGAATCCGATCGTTCTAGGTTGCAAACTCACAAAGAATAATGGAGAAGCAAAGGTAGATGCAACGGTTTACAAACAGAAGGTAGGAAGCCTCATGTATCTAACTGCTACAAGGTCGGATATCATGTACGTAGTAAGTCTGTTAAGCAGGTTCATGGAGTCGCAAACTGAGCAGCACAATTCAACCATGAAAAAAGTCTTTCGATACTTGCAAGGAACATCATATTTATGAATTTTATATGAAAGAAAAAGGGAAGAAATATTGGTTGGTTTTAGCGATTCAAATTATGTAGGTGATCGTGATGATAGGAAAAGCCCTTCGGGTTATGTATTCAAACTAAGTTCAGGAGCAGTCTCATGGAGTTCTAAGAAACAGCCTGTCGTAATCCTTCCTACCATAATCATTATTCTTGATACTAGTGTCTTTATTGACCTCAAAATATACTATCTTAAAGTGCCTAATTGTAAATTTCTCACTTGCATTCAATCAGAGTGCAATACCTAAATATCTCTCAAACATATGCTCTTATACCAACTTGTAACACCCTCAAATTTGAAAAGAGCGACTAATTTAGAAATTCCCTTAATACAACAAATAAAGGCTAAATCTATTTTTATATTAGTCAATACTTGAATTACCTCGAATATCAAATCTAAAATCAACGTCAATAAATGATAGACCGAGCCTTAGATAAAGACAAAGTTAAGATCGGGTGTTACTATAACCCAATATTGTCACTATCTCCAATTGCGGAAGACATCAACAAATAGCTAAGTCTTTCTCGTCCATCTATCCAGTACTCATCTCATCACGATGTTGCTAGTGCCATTTCCAACGACCTGATGTACATGTCGACAAATAAAATGTTAGGCTTAACGTCTAGTGAGCTCAAGCAGTTTTCATCATAATCATAAAATAATAAAACCGAAAGACTAATGATTTAAATCATAATTTCGTAAATAAAATGTTTTCATCGTAACAACGACATCTTTATGGAACCCACATTTCACTAATAAAAACTCATTAACCAAAACAACCATTTAAATACAACCAAAATCCAATACTCACATAACCTAGAATAAAGACATAAGACGTTAAAACGAAAGACATGGCTTTAGTTAAGTCACTTTGTATAATTAGATCATATTCACCCTTATAAGGGTGTAAGACATCATAAGATGACGAGGGAGACCCGATTTG